TTTAATACATAATTTACAAAAAGAATTAATAGATCAAGAATACGAGTTTTGTTTTGTGTATTTAATATTGCAAGCTTTGGACATAATACTTTCCACAACATCTGAATAAAAAATAAAAATAGCAATTAAAAATATATATATGATATTCTGCTCATAGTTTTCGTAAAAATCTAAAAATATTCATATTTCAGAAAAAGATGAAATGATTCTAACTGAAAAATATGTTACCGAGTAGCCCAATTCATTACATCGTATTTAATTCATTAATGGAATAATGCAAGAATTTTCATACATTACATTCCAGTAGGTTTACAAAATATGAACGGTTATAATAAGTAAAGTAAAGTTTATACCATGTTTTTAGCTTTATTATTATTTTTATTTTGATGAATCGCTTAAATAAAATTAAATTTTATGCGCCGGAATAAATATAATATATCATTCAATTAAATTGAAACTTATATATTTCTAAAATAAATGTATATTAACATTAAGCAAGCCTCATATCATAAATAAATGATTGAAAAAAAAGTTACAAAATATTATATATTATTACATTATTATATTTAATACATGATTTTTTAATAAAAATACTTTTAATATAATATTATGATATCTATTAAAAAATCTAAATTATTGAAGTAGATCCGGATATTTTGAGAATAGAAGTATGTTTGTGTCTCTTGAAAAAGTAAACTCCTATTGAAACCAGAATAGTAAGAAAAATTCCTCCTCCTACTCCTAATCCAATTGCCAATTCTTTTGAAAATGGCTTAGGAGGAGGAGGAGGAGTATAAGTTGTGACCCATGTGTAATTTGTTACATCAAAAATATATATTTGAGAATTCAGATCTTTATTATACAAATCATACCCTGAGAACATAAATTGATATAAGATAATATTTAATAATAATAATATATATTTAATAAAAAGTTTTATGATAAATTTTGCTTACCAAATGTAACTATCATATAATTTCCATATATATTTGCAGTATGTCCATATAAAAATGGAGAAGAATTAGATGATGATGAAATTGTCCATTCATAAGTATCTTTGTTTGTATCTAATAATGCAAGTTTTGATCTAAAGGTTGTATTACTCATTCTAGGACCAGCACCTCCCAATACAATAATATATCCATCTGTAGCTGTATAAAATATTTTGAAATTAATAAAGATTCTTAACCCGAATTTCAGTAATCTTATAATTTATAATACTTACTTAATACAGAAGTATGATGTGCCCGTGGAGCAATATCATCACCTCCAGTAACATTCTTAAAATTAAAAAGAAGTTTATTAGATTATAATTAATTTTTAATAAATAATTTGTTATATTATTATTACACATACCATTTGTGACCACTCTTTTTTTATCGTATCAAAGAGCCTAATCTATTTGATTGTTTGATAATAGCAAAAAAAAAATAGAAATCATTATAAAAAACAATAGCAATTAAAAATTGGTTATTATATTGTGTATAAATAATTATCACTTACTGTTTTCATGCTTGAAAAAATTGCATCTGAACGAGATGTGTAATTTTCATTAGCAACCTCAAATTCAACCCCACCAAGGTAAACAATAATTCCGTTTGTCAAAATATTAGCTGTATATGCACAGCTTGGCAAAGGAAGATTATAAATTATACTTAACGGTGTCCAAACCATTGTGGAAACATTAAATATTTGCATATCATTATAAAGTTTTCCCGCCGAAAGATCAGTCGCATTATTCTTATTCCCACCAAAAATATATATAGTCCCTTTATTATTAATTACTCCCTTCATTTCTTGTCTGGGAGTAACATTATCAACTCCTAGAGGAGTCCATCTAGTAACGGAATGATTATACATATATATTACATCTACATTTGAATCTTCATATTCATTAGTAGTTATATTTACCCTGTAACCTCCAATTAGATAAATTATATCATCATCAAGCGTACTAACTATAGAAGTTGAATGATATGTATATACTGGAAGATATCCTTCTTCGACCAAATCCCACGGAATACTTTTGCTATCAAATGGTTTTGTCAAATCCAAATAAAACATTTCAGAAGTGTAAATAGGCTTATTATTTTCATTCTTTTTCCATCCACCAAAAATTAAAAGTTTATTATGAATTATTACAGTATTATGATGCGTTCGGGTTTCTGGTACATAACATAAAATTGGATTGATTAACAATGTTATACAAAAAATTATAAGACTATACATAAACATTTTGATTATAGGAATTTTTTAATTCTGAAAAAAAAGAAAAAGGGAAAATGGTTGAAAATGATTCTAAGTGAAAAAAAACACGTCCAGGTTCATCTTAAGTGCTGACAATACAATATATTCGTTTTTTTATGTACAACCAATTTCCATTGTTTTTTGACTTTTGATCCATAAACAAAAATTGACATTGTTCACATTATAACATATATATTGTATTAAAGTGTTTCATTTTTTATTAAATTTTAGTGACCTCCTGAAGATTATTATAACTATATAATCAATTTATATAAAATATGATCAATTTATATAACTTATAATCAATTTATATAAAATATATATAATCAATTTATATAAAATTTACTGGGTAAGTTTTTATCTAAAATAAGATAATTAAGAGAACATATTATTTGATACTAAATTATATTTTAATACATAATTTACAAAAAGAATTAATAGATCAAGAATACGAGTTTTGTTTTGTGTATTTAATATTGCAAGCTT